GCATTTCGAGATGGCGGCAGGAGAACTTTAAACCAAATGTGGGTGGGACTACCCAGGTCTCACATCCAAGGAGCCAGCCCTGCCCACAGATGATACATGGGTACCGTAAAGCGTGAGAGGCATAGCCATAGAGGATTCTGTGTTGCAGCCCTTCACTAGAGGGATGCTTTTAGTTGTATTTGATCTTTTTGCATTTTATCTTTAAAAAACCCACAATTTTTCATTATACTCCTTAATATACTCATTGGTCTTACCATAAAAGAATATTTCCTCCCAAAGAAACCTGGAAGGAAAATAGCATCAACAACCTCTGGCACTCTGACCATCTAGAAGCACAAATGTCCTAGTTCAAAAAGCCTGAGGTTAGCCTATCCTAGATGTAGACCAAAGAGCTCTCGATTAAATATTTCCAACAGAATCACACCATGTAAATTTCATGTGCCTTTCTTGCAAGAGGCTAAATTCATGTAGTATTGCTCTGGACCAGTTATTTAAGCTCTGGACCCGTCAGTCTTCTCATCTATAACATGGGGAGAAAAATAATACTACCTCAGGGGTTGTTGTGAGGATTCAATGAGGTAATAAATAAAAATAAAGAGACAGAGAACATTTTCTGGCTTATGTCAAGTGTGCAATAAATGTTGATGTATCGTTACATCGCAGAGATTAGGTCCTTGTTTCACTTTGAAGAAAGCAGAAAATGAGGTAGACAGGGTGTCACAGGGGAGCTGGCTCAGCTTCTAGGCAGAGCCCCATGGGATGGTGCTTATTCCAATGAGTTCATCTTGACCTGGGGTCTGGTCTTCATTCTACTGATGCAGAAACCTGATTTTGTCAGCACCCAGAGAGTCATGGCTGTAATTGGGGGGTGTACTTACAATACTGGACGTTGGTGGTGTGTGTGTGTGTGTGTGTATAAGCTCAGAGAAAAATAGAGAAAGGGGTTGGAGTGAGGAGAAGAGGGAGAGGGAGAGGGATTGAGAGAGACAGAGCAAGTAGATAATTTAGAGTCTGGGAGGGATGACCTTTACATTTTTCAGTGAGAGAAACACTACAGAGAACTTGAAGGTTGCTGGAAGAAACAACATCAGCAGTGACAAGACAGTCTCAAGGGACTGTCTTGGTCTCAGCTTTGACACCCAGTCACCTCGGTGGGTGGCATCTTCTGAAACAACCACAGCTGGGGAGCACTGTGGAATCTTTAAGCCTCAAGGGGGCACTCTAAACTTCAGCTCCAGGAACCAGACAAGAGCATCTAGCCAGGTCTTGCCTTTTGGATATAAACAAACACAGGAGATTTTTGGAGAGAACAGGGAAGGTAGGTGGGTGGGTGGTGCTTAGTAGAGAGTGAATTAGTCTGGGCACATGGAGCTCCAGAAGTGCATTTGGGGCCATTGCTAGAGAAATGTTGTTATCTCTCAACTTCTACAATTGAATATAATAATTGATGTGTGTATATACATGTTTCTGATTATAAAAGTTAAACATTCATGTTGTAAAATTTTTAAATATTAGGGAAAGTATAGCTTTGAAAGTGAAATCCTTTCGTATCCCCGTCCCTGCCCCACAAAGTGTTAAAAGTTTCATATGTTTGCTATGACTATATCCACTAACTGGCTAGCAAACAACTAACTATACATATACAGGAACACATGCGTAGTTATTTCTACATAAATAGGGAATGCCGACATTTAAGTTCACCATGATAACCAGTAAAGCTGCCTGAAAAGCTTGTGTTTCATGGCCCACTGCATTCCCTTCCCATGAGCAAGTAACACAGAAAGGCAAATTATCAGAAATTTATGAGCTGAGTGTGGAAAGAAAACAAGGAAAGTGAGTTAATCTTCTGAAATGTCTTTCAGCTGAAAGACACCTCCCCTCCCCATCAATGCATCCAGGAACTAGTATCTCACAGACCACATTTTGGAAAATGGTGATCTCTGCCTATGTCATTGTGAAGTCTCCTTAAGGCAGAAATTATTACTGGGTTTTATTGTTCCTTTTAGAATTCCCTGCTTTTGGGTAAAAATTAATAACTTTCTTTAACCCACCTATGGGTTATTTGAAAAGATCTTTAATGACCTATTTAATATGATTAAAACCATCCTATTTACTTTTTGTTCATGTTTTAAAAGAGAGTGGGAAAGGTAACAGTTATTTAAGATAAAATAAACCAGCAGGCCAAAAACTATTCATGCTAATAAATCTAAAAGTAAAGTCTGCCATTAGGAATGACTTAAGTATATGAAGTGTTTCCTTTAAAATAGTCATTATTTCTATATCCTTCATGTAGACCTAGAAGCACAAGTTATGATTGCTTTTAGGCATCTAATACACAAATGGGTAACAAATGATGCCTCTGGCCCCAAACCATTCTTCATCTCATCCACTAGAGGGTACCTGAGGGTTGTTCAACAAAAGCACTCAGAAAACCAGATTAAAAATGTGAACCAGAAACCACAGACCAAAAGTGCTGTATATATATTTTAATACTAAAAATAGTAAAATGCTAAAAGATAGTCGCATGTTTTTTTCCCCTTTATATAGAATTTTGACACTTTTGTTTTGTACACCAACATTCGGCTTTGAAAACATTTTGAATCTTGTCTAAAAAGGATGGTAATGTGTATTTTATAATACACTAAACACATCTGCTTTTCTAATGAAAAGTGTGGTATTGAAGATTGCTAGAAAAGGCTGGCAATTTTATTATCATATTCCCAGAATTATTTCTCTATTTTGTATAATTAGTATATTACTTAATTGGATTCCCTCTGAATAGTCTCATGAAAGATGTAGGGTTCTTTTTCCTTTATTAGGTTCACCTTCTACTTCTCACTCCCTCCCACTCTGTGTTTTAGTAAGAGCAAGTTACTGTACTGCTCAGTAAAACTGAAAATTGGAAGTAGTCCCAATGACCAGTAGTAGGGAATAGAAAAGCCAAGAGTGGAGTGTTATGGCAACGCATATTTATATTAATCTATTAATTATAGTATATATAAATTATAACACTGATGCAATAGTATGAAAAATGCATTTGCAAAATATGCTGACCATTTGCTAAGGGTCAGTCCCTGTGCTATGTGAATGATGACCAGGAAATAAATTCTAGCTCTTGAGGAGTATATAATTTGGGGTGTGTGTGTGTGTGTGTGTGTGTGTGTGTGTGTGTGTGTGTGAGGAGATCCATGATTGAATAATTACACGGTAGGGATTGTGAGCATGAGCTTTGGAATCAGAAATTCAGGCTCTCCCACTCATTTGTTATATGACCTTGACCAAATTACTTGACCTGTCTCTGAGACTTGATCGTCTTATCTGTTAAATGGGGCTAATCATCTATCTTAATTTTATTGTGAAAATTAAGTGGAACCATGAACATAAAGTACCTGACACTTAGTATTGATTATGGAGTTCAGTAAATGACATTAGTAGTGGTGGCTTTCATTATTGTGGCTTTCTGCATGTAGCAGGGAATCATTGTGTGATGCCATATGTGATAGACTGTCTCAGCTGGTCACCCCCAGAATGAGACGGAAGCATTGTTCCAGGGCCAGACAATTGCTCTGGCCAGACAAGCTTCGGTCACATCCTGACAGTCCAATTTTCTGGATAGCCCAGTGGTTTGGGCCACCTGATATGAAGAGAGTCACTGAGAAGGGATCTTGCCTCCTTTGGAGTAGGGTGTGTTTCTGTTTTTCTTTAACTGCTTCCAGGTCTGGTGGTCAAAGTGGGCCTCTTCGGGTGAAGACCCCCTACAGTCCTGAGAGCCAGCGTAGATGGCTGCTCCCACATGAGCTAGCAGACAGAGCTCATTCACTGAGAAATGGGTTTGGGGCCAGGCCAGAATGGCAGAAAAAGTGTTTCTCAAGCAAAATTCTGGATGATGCTGAAATCCAAGGAATCTGCAGAACCAGGAGTCAAATGGAATCAAGGGCTGAGATCAGAAAGCCAGACAATGAAATCCAAATGGGTTACCAAGCCATGGCAGAGCTGTGCTGAAATCCAGGGTGTAGAGCAGAGATTGGAAACTGGTGGGGGGTGGAGTGTGGGGAGGAATGGGTGCAGAGAACAGTGAGAACCTACTATTTACCAGCTACTATTCCCGATACTAGAGCTTCTATTCCAATAAGCTAATTTCCCGTGCTGGTAAGTACTATAAAGACAAATGGCATAGCATAGTGTACTGGGAGTTTCTGTTTTAGCTAAGGTGGTATTCTAGGAAGAAGGAACACCAAGAGAAAATGCCCTGAGGCAGGAATGACAGAAGAAGGCCATTGTAGCTGGAGTGTCACGAACAAAGTGACAGGTGGAAAGAAATGAGTTAGAGAGGTAGTCAGGGGCAACTCTTGTAAGGATCTTGTAAGCCATGATAAAGGGTTTGGATTTTAACCACGCAGTGGGAAGCTGTTGGAAGTTTTAAATAGGGCAGGAGAGTTGGCAAGATCTGACTTACATTTTAGAAAGACCCTCTGGCTGCTGTGTGAAGGTTAAATTATAGCAAGACAAGAGTCTCATACAGGAAGTCCTGAAAGAAGGAAGAAGTAGGGACTGACTGCTGTGTCAAATCGGAAAGAAATTCCCATGAGCTGGGCCAGTGGAATATCTGTGTGGCACACATCCATTTCCTCTCCAGTCTCGAGGTTGCCCTTGTACTTAAACCAGGTCAGGAGGTGGGCCTCACCTCTTGACTCCTTTTCCAGGAGCATCTTGGTCCTGGGGGGTTATTTATTCAGATTTCTAAATAGGTACAAGCCAATATAAGATTTTGAGGGAAAGTAGCTTGAGGCTAAAATGGGGCTTCTGATACACATCTCATTCTGTTTCAGTACAAATGAGGAGAAACAACTGAGAGTTTTTTAAAATGTGGAGGATGGAGTAGAGAAGTAGGTTGATTTAAGTAGCATTTCAATCAGATAAACTGAGTTAGTTATTTAAAGATATAACTTTAAAGTATATTTGGAAACAAGAATTAGAATAGCTGCACACTGATTGGGTGTCTACCATGGGCATACCATTGTGTGTCCACCAGAGCCTTCGTACATGAAACAAAACACAACCACAGTTATTGTTGTAAGAGTCTTTGTGTTCCTGCCGTGCAAAGGGATTCCGGTTCTGGGACTGAACCAGGTCTTTGGAAGCAATATGGTTACAGAAGTTCTTCTTTATTTTCAAGCCTGAAAGCTAAGCATTAAGGTTCCTACCTTTTGCAGATGAAGAGACCAAGGTTTAGAGAGGTTGTTTACATGGACCAATTGAGTAGTAAAATGAGAATGTGAATCTGGGGCTGTCCAGTTCCCAGACTCCAAAATTCACACTGGAGCCACTTTACATGAATTGTACAAGTAGGGTGCAGTGATTAAGGTTGTGAACCATGGTGTCAGGGGGGCTTGGATTTGAATTCTGCTCCATCATTTACTAGCTGTATCTTCTTGGCTGGTTACTTAACAGCTAAGAGCCTGTGTTCCCTCCTCTGTAAAATGGGGGTATCAATAGCCCCTTCTTCAAAGGTTGCTCTGAAGATGATGTGAGATGTATAGGATGAACCTGGCAAATGAAAGAGAACCCAATAAATGTTAGTGCATATATATATATATGCATATATATATACATGTATATATATATATGCATACATATACACTAACCTGTGAGGGGTACTTTGGCATCTTTCTGAACCAGTTTCACTGCCAGCATCAGAAATATATATCCTGCCTTGGAAATGTCTAACATAATAGATTGTGTCTGCTCAACTTGCTCTTCACAGTGCTTCGAACACTAGGCATCTAGGAAGTACTCTGGATGATGATATTACCCAACTGCATGAGTGGGTTTGATAGCTTTTCCAAAGGGCTGGTGTTTCGGTTGTGCAACTGTAACTGCTTCATGGCAATAGAAAAGATTTATTTTTTGGACCCCAATCAACTCTCAGCCCCATCCCTCAAACTCCAGCTATATCACAAGATGTCAAAGCCGTGCGATATTAACGTTTGGTCCAAAGTGCTAGTGGCATTTTGCAGATGTAATGAAGAACCCACATTGTCCTAAATTGCTTTGTGATGCCTTCTGCCCTGAGCCTTGCTCGCCCTTTAAGGCCCAGCTGGTGGAGGAGATTCAGCTGCTAGCTCACCTGGGAGGCAAGGTAAAGACAAAAGAACTGGTTTGTTCAACTTTGCAGGAGGCTGGGACCTCAGTGGGGTAGAAGATGCCACTCAGTGAGGGTAAGGATCTAGCAATCATTTCCGTCCAGACCCAAGTCGCACAAAGGAAAAGATCTCCCATAGTAAAAAAAAAAAAAAAATGGAGTGATTTTCCAAGATGAATGGTCACCTGACTCAGAAGAAATCAGCAGGAGTGGGGATGGGGAACAGAGAAAAAGAAGGGGTTTTCTTTCAGAGGGCTACTGTTGCCCTTGAGGAAAGCAGTCAAATCACATAAAACTGGTTTGCAGGATAGATTTTTACCTGAAGTGAAGAACTGTGTGCTTGCTTCAATCCAGTCTGTTCCAACCAGCTTCTTTCCACTTGCACTTGAGAAACTGAGTCAGCCTAACATGTTTTCCATAGTACAAGAGCCCTACCTTCAGGAAAGTTTCTGTGTCCTGCAGAGTCCAAGTGGGTCAGTTTTCCTCTGAATCTTGGTGACATAGGGGAGCTGGACAGGCTTGGTTCAAACAGTGGTCCAGAGTATCCTTTTGCTGCTACTTTGGGCAAATTCCCTGCCCTCAGTTTCCTCATCTGTAAAATGAAATTAATGAATGAAACTATTTTGATAATGTACTTGTGATGGACAAAAGAAAGAGTGTATTTTAAACCCAAACTGACGATAGACACTTCTGCCTTTTAAGGAAGGTAGGCATACTTCGTACCAGTGAGGAAATAGTTTTCCTTTGGGCCCCTTCCCAGAGAAGGAAAAGCAAGACACACACACACACATACACACACATACACAGAGAGAGAGAGAGAGAGAGAGAGAGCGAGCGAGCACAAGCATGCAATTGGGTAGAAAGCCTGTTTAATGGAGCATGTTAACCGCAATGGAAGTGGAGCTGAATATGGCTCTGGTGGCTGGAGAGGGCTGAACTGCTTTCCCCAATAGTTGTTCAGGGCTTCTAGGGGCCAGCGAAAGAGAAAGAGGAGAGACATGGCCCCAGCAATGCTGCAGAAGGCAAATCTTAAAGTCTGCAGAGCCCAGCTACTATTCAGTTTACATGTTTATATATATCAAAGGACTCAGAATAATTCTTAGCACCAGCGAGCATTTAATAAATGACAGCCAGTGGCTGTGTGGCACAGTGACAGTGTACAGCATCATTGCCCTCAGAGAGTCCCTCGCCCTGGAGGAAAAGTATCATCTTTCTTCTTCATGGTGTGTGTGTGTGTGTGTGTGTGTGTGTGTCTTGGGGAGGCAGGACAGACAGCAAAGAGGAAAGTAGTGGGTCCAAATTCTGGTTCCACAGGGTTTGTTTCTTTCTTTAATTTTCCCTTTTTAAATTAGGGCAAAAAATAGTACTTCATCTCATACGATTTATATGAAGTTTAAACAAGATAATCTAGACAATTCATATGCTGGGCACTTAGCCTTCAGAAGATGTTAGCTCTTGCTAGTATTCTATAATAATAGTCTTATGAAGATGGCATACTGTCCTAGAACATACGCTCTGTGGTTTTTGTTTTAAAATCTACATGTGGGACACCTGGGTGGCTCAGTCAGTTAAGTGTCCAACTCTTGATTTCGGCTCAGATCATGATCTCACAGTTCACAGATTCGAGCCTCGCTGTCAGCACAGAGCCCGCTTGGGACTTTCTCTCTTCCTCTCTCTCTCTCTCTCTCTCTCCCTCTCTCTGCCCTTCCCTCACTCACATGCTCACTCTCAAAAATAAATAAACTTAAAAAAAATAAAATGTATGTATATACTCAATACAAAAACCTTGAAAACCATATAAAGAACGCAGAAAAACAACAGCCGCTCCAACATAAAGATCACCGGGGTTAACATTTTGGTTTATGTCTTTTCAGTTTTTTTCCTCTCAAGTGTATGGACATCTTTGTTCTGTCTTTTCAAAATGGGATACTGTTCTATAGTCTGCTTTTTTTTTTTAACCTAGCAATAGACTGTGAACTTTTCCCCATGGATGAGTTGCTTCTTAAAATAGATGTTCCTGTGGAAGCAGCCATAGTCAGGGCCAGCAGATTCATTACTATTCTTTTATTTATTTATTTTACAAACTGGGGGGACGTCTTATGGCCATCCAAATCTGGGAAAATCTGCACACACATTTCCTTATTGGAAAATTAACAGTGCATATTAGCATGTTAAAGACTCTAAGAAACCCTTCCATAAGAGAACCTGCCTGACTTGGATTAGACCAGCGTTCCCCAAACTAATTTAACGCAGTGGAGCCATCTAGTCTCTTAACTCCCACTGATGTCTCAGGAATCACGTGGGGAAACACTCCTGAGGGTGAAGATTCCTTAAAAGTAGGGAGCAGGTCTTGTTCATCTTCATTGTTTCCACATGACCTTACAGATGGATTTTTTTTTCTTTTAAAGAAATTATGGAAAATGGGATTGGCCTGATGAATCCACTTTCTAACAACACGCGTGTGAACCAGGGGCCAGGGTTAGAGGCTGGGGCCGTGCTCTGAAGTGTCTCTCCGTGTAAAGCTAATTGGCCCCTTTGGGGATAAACCTGTGAACCTGGCCTCGTTAGCACCAGCACGAAACAGCTGAGTTCGTTTATTTGGCACCGTGAAATGGTTTTCTTCCCCAGATTCTCACACTGTCCTCTAGGTGGCGATGTGGGTTTGTCGACCTGAGAGCCTGAAGCTTGGGCCAAGCAAAGCTTAAAATTGAGGGGGGTGCAGGTGTGGATGAGGGAGGGCACCGGGACGGAGTGATTATTGAAACCAGAAGGCACACTGTCAGGCGTGAAGCTGGCATGATGCTGAAGCACAAGCTCATACACTGGAATGGGACACAGATTTTAAAGAATATGGATGAACCAGTGAGCCAATAAATATCGCTAGTGTTTATTGAGCACCAACTGGGACTGGTAATATGCCAGATAATTTTCTTCTTTTGATTTCTTTTGATCCCCACCCCAACGCACCTGTGAGGAAGGTCCTGCAGCTAGAAGTAGCAGAACTGGAAATCCCACGCGGGTCCTGTATCCGAGGACTCTGCTAGACTGAAACTAGAAGATGTTGACCAAAGATGAATAATTGTGAAATGTTTGTCCAGCTATCCTTCGATCCAGCTATTATCTATCTACCACCCAATCTGTGATCTGCTTTTCATTTCATTTGTACAGGATGGGCTAATAGCACTATGTGGTTGGGAAGAATATTCTGATAAGTCCCTCTGAGAGGGTTCTGGGAGAAAGAATTTTTCTGGTTTCATTACATTTCCTATGATTTTTATTCTCTCTTGTGGATTGCTTCTCCAGCTGGTTGCTCGGCTGGCCACCCCTTAATTCCACTGTGCCGACAGGGGCTGTGCAGAGGGCCACGAGAAATGTCCGAAAGGGCACCCTAGCTCTGACATGGAGGGTGACAGAAGACCAAAGGATGTGTAGGAGTTAGCTATGCAACTGTTACAGATGGCTGTTCCAGCCAGAACAGCACACGCTTAAGGCCTGAGGTCAGCAAGAGCATGGTGCATTAGGGGACTGAAAATAGTTCAGTGTGGCCGGCCCATAGGTTAAGGGTGTGTGATGCCAGACGGAGGGAAGGGGGAAGAGTGAGGAAAGGCTGAACAGGTACACGCAGTCAAGAGAGTGAAAGGCCTTGTAAGTTGTGTTGAGGTGCTCGAACTTGATCCTGAGCACAACCAGGAATCCCTGGAGGGTTTTAAGGCATGTGATGAAATGGATAGGTTTGCATTTTAGAAAGAGCACCCTGGCAATGGGCAGCGCCTCTGGAAAACAGTGTGGAGGTTCCTCAGGAAAATCACAATAGAACTCCCCTATGACCCAGCAATAGCACTGCTAAGAATTTACCCAAGGGATACAGAAATGCTGTTGCATAGGAGCTCATGTACCCCAATGTTCATAGCAGCACTCTCCACAATAGCTAAAACATGGAAAGAGCCTAAGTGTTCATCAACGGACGAATGGATCAAGAAGATGTGGTTTATCTATACCATGGAATACTACATGGCAATGAGAAACAATGAAATCTGGCCATGTGTAGCAACATGGATGGACCTTGAGGGTGTTATGCTGAGCGAAATAAGTCAGGCAGAGAAGGACAAATATCATATGTTTGCACGTATAGGAGGATTAGGAGGAACTTAACTGAGGACCATGGGGGAGGAGAAGGGGGGAAATGGTGGGGGAAAGGGAGAGAGGCAAACCATGAGAGACTCTTGAATGCTGAGAAACAAACTGAGGACTGATGGGTGGGGAGGGGGGAGGGGGGAGGGGCATGGAGGAGGACACTTGTGGGGATGAGCACTGAGGGTTATGTGGAAACCAATTTGACAATAAACTATTTGTAAAAAAAAAAAAGAAGAAAGAAGAAAGAAAGAGCACCCTGGCAATGGAAAAGGGATTAGGAGAGATGGGTGTGTGTGCATGTCTGTGCACACTCCAGCACCAATTGCTGGGGTGGGGGATGGCTATAGGACAACATTTGGAGGGTGTTGTAATACCTCCTGCAAGAGATGAGAGGGCCCTGACCCAAGGAAGCTGCAGCACTGTCCATGGAGAGGGCTGAAAGCACATTTGAGAAGAATTAACAGCCTCTGGCTACTGACTGAGAGCTGGGGGTGACATTTTGGGGTTCTCTGGTTATTAGTGACAGTGTATACTAATATTTTGTATAAATATCAGTATAAATAGAAATACTTTTGTCCAAAACCGGGTGGCAAAAATGCTCCATACAGGGTACCTGACCCATCCCTCTTCACCTCTTTCTAGTACTGCACTCCCCAATTTCTTTCTCTCTTTTTTTATCTTTTAAAAATCTCTGCTCATATAATGTGCAATAAAGAGCATGGGTGTCTGAAAATCAAAAAATCCAGTGAAGAATGGGCAGAAGACATGAATAGACATGTTTCCAAAGAAGACATCCAGATGGCCAACAGACACATGAAACGATGCTCAGCATTGCTCCTCATCTGGAAAATACAAATCAAAACCACACTGAGATACCACCTCGCTCCAGTTAGAGTGGCTAAAATTAACAACTCAGGAAATAACAGATGTGGATGAGGATGTGGAGAAAGGGGAACCCTCTTGCACTGCTGGTGGGAATGCAAACTGATGCAGCCACCCTGGAAAACAGTATGGAGGTTCCTCAAAACATTAAAAATAGAGTTGCCCTACGACCCAGCAATTGCACTACTAGGAATTTATCCAAAGGATACAGGAGTGCTGATGCATAGGGGCACATGCACCCCAATGTTTATAGCAGCACTGTCAACCATAGCCAAATTATGGAAAGAGCCCAAATGTCCATCAACTGATGAATGGATAAAGAAGATGTGGTAATATATACACAATGGAATACTACTCTGTGATTAAAAAAAAAAGAGTGAAATCTTGCCATCTACAACAACATGGATGGAACTGGAGGGTATTTTCCTAAAAAAAATAGAAAAACTTAACAAATGACCATAGGGGAAGGGAAGGAAAAAAGAGATACAAATAGAGAGGGGGGCAAACCGTAAAAGACTCTTAAATAGAGAGAACAAACTGAGGGTTGATGCGGGTGGGGGCTTGGGAGGTTTGGGAAAATGGGTGATGGGCATTGAGGAGAGTACATGTTGGGATAAGCACTGAGTGTTGTACGTAAGTGATGAATCATGGGAATCTACTCCCGAAGCCAAGACTACACTGTGTGTGAGCTAACTTGACAATAAAAATAAATAAATAAATGCTGCCATGGGAAAACAAAAACAAAGCAAAAAATGACCATAGGTGTCAGAGTCAGGCTGATCTGAATCACAGCACTAATGCTTATTAGGGTATTTATTTGAACTTCAGTGAGCCTCATTCATTCAATTATAAATGGGGATAACTGTATCTACCTCATAGGACTGGGATTATGATTTAGTGCAGGTTTTCCTTTTCGGACCCAAACTCAGTTCTCTCTCAGATGGGTGGTAAGTGGTACCACCCTACAACCCACTCACCCAAACCAAAACCCATGCTTCCTCCTTTCCTTTTCTCCCCACCCAGGTGATTTACTGTCACCTCTTGCCTTGAGGGCACTAGTAGCTTCTTCATTGGTCACTTGGGTTCCACATAACTCTTGAAGGATCCTTGCTGTTTTCTCCATAAAGCGGCTAGGTTGATCTTTTTCGTCAATGTTGGTTGTTTGTTTTTTATAGCAACTTTATTGAGATATAAGTCACATACCATAAAATCCACCCATCTAAAGTGTACAATGCAGTGGGTTTCAATATATTCACAGAGTTGCACAAGCATCATCACTATCCAATTTGAGAGCATTTAAATCATCTCGAAAAGAACCCTGTATCCATTAGCAGTCTCTCCCTACTCCCTCGCAACCACTAATCTACGTTTTGTCTCTATGGATTTGCCTATTCTGGACATTTGGTATAAATGGAATCAAAACAATATACGATCTTTTGTTTCTGGCCTCTTAGCATATTTTCAAGGTTCATCCATATTGTAGCATGGATCAGTATGATTCCTTCTCATGGCAGAATACCGTTGCATTGTATGGATATATCCCATTTTGTTTATCCATTCATCAGTGGATGGATATTTGAGTTGTTTCTACTCTTTGGCTATCATGCAAAATGCTCCCAGGAACATTTGTGTACATTTTTGTGTTTACTTATGTTTTTAATTTTCTTGGGTCTGTACGTAGGACTGGAGTCACTGAGTCACATGGTAACTCCGTGTTTAACGTGTTTTGAGGCCCTGCCAAACTGTTTTCCAAAGTGGTTGTCGCGTTTTCTAATCTGACCAGCAACATACGAGGGTGCCAATTTCTCCACATTTTTGTCAACATTTGTCATTGTCCGCTTTTTTGAACATAGTCCGTCCTGGTGGGTGTAAACTGGTATCTCGCTGTGGTTTTGATTTGCATTTCCCTAAGGACCAGTGATGTTGAGCGTCTTCTCATGTAGCTATTGGCCATGTGTCTGTCTGCTTTGGGAAAATGTTATTCAAACTCTTTGCCCCTTCCCCTTTCAACTTTTCTTTATTGTGGTAAAATATGCATAACATATATAACGTAAAAGTTACCATTGTAACTATAACTGTTCTGGCGGAATTAAGTACATCCAAGTGCACTGCAACCCTCATTACCCCCCATCTCTAGAACTTTTTCATCTTCATGAACTGAGACGCTAGCCCATTACTTTCTCATTTCAGTCCCTGGTAACAACTATTCTCCTTTCTCTTTGTTATTGCAGTTCTTGTTTTTAGTTTTGTTTTTAAAATAGCCATCCTCCTGGGTATGTGAAGCGATATGTCATTGTGATTTTGATTTGCATTTCCTTCATGCTTAGTGATTCTTTCATGTGCTTCTTGGCCACCTGTATATCTTCTTTGGAGAAATATTTTTGCCATTTTTTAAATTGGATTTGGGGTCCTTTTAATATGGAGTTGTAAGAGTTTTTTTTAAACTTACATGATCTGCAAATATTATCTTCCATTCTGTGAGTTGTATTTTCACTTTCATGATGGTGTACTCTGAAATCAAAGTTTTAATATCTGAGAACTCCAATTTATCTGTTCCCTCTGCTTGCTTATGCTTGGGTGTCCTAGCTAAGAAACCATTGCCTAGTTCAACAACAGAAAGATTACTCCTACGTTTTCTTCTAAAAGTTTTATAATGTTAGCTCTTACATTTAGGTCCATGATCCATTTTGAGTTAACTATTGTATATGGTGTGAGGTGGAACCAGGGTGATGTTTCAAAAACAAACCAAACTCAGTGACTCCCCTGCTTAAAATTCTCTACTGGCTTCCGGCTGCTCTTAGAACACAATCTTAGTTCCTTACCACAAGGTTTTTGGTCTCATCTCAGCGCCCCCCCCTCCCCCACAAAGTCCCACCTTGCTGGAGCCTTGGCGGTCTTCTCACAGTTCGTAATCACGTTAACTCATTCTGAACTGGTGTTTTTGCACTACTGTTCCCTACACCGGAAACACAGAATTTCTGGTGGCTACTGCCCTTCTTTTGATCTCAGTATAAAAGCGCCTTCTTCAGTAAGCC